TAGTGCACTGACTTGCTGACAAAGGTCACATCTGTGTTTTCTTCATTGCGTACAGACACGAACGAGGCCATGTATTCACACCAACTGATTCTCCTAATTGCTGTGCTTCTGGAGCCATTTCTACCAGTGCATGCCACCAGTTTGACTGGTAGCTGCTTTACATCTACTTGTACTTAAGGTAGTGAAGGGCAAAGGAGTGTCAGGAGGCATTATGTCCACAGCCATATGTACCCTGTTCTGCACTCCATAAATCAAAGCAACCATTCTTCATGCACCCTCGACTTTCCAAGCTCTGTGCAGTTGCAGTCAAAGGGATAAAACTGCTGCCTTTCCACGAGGAAGTGAGTAGAGCTTTTATTCCCCTCTTTGACCAGAGCACTTAGATGGTTTTAGGTTCATCAGATTGTTTCTAATAGCAGGCAAAATTGATCGCTCAAGTACTTTGATGCAGCCTTTTTATTTACAATGAAAGTACGAAATTCCGTTTCCTCGAACAGAGAGGAATCAGACAATAGGAGACAGTTTTTCTGCATGCAATTTCAATCCTTTCAGCCAGCACTTTATCCTGAAGCACTCCACCAGCTTTTTTCTCAAGGTCATTCTTGTGGAGTTTATCTGGTTCTGCCTGGTTTTGAGAGAAGGCTGCCTTTGTCACACCATAGGAGCATAGCTGCTCCAAGCTCTGCCCTTCTCACATCTATAAAGCCCAACATTTCAGCCAGGAGAACCCTTGAATGTATTGGCTTCTTCTCATGTCTGGCATCTACGTTCTTTCTTAGGGTGACTGCTTCCACAACAGCCTTACTGCTTCTGTAAAAGAGCTTGTTTGCTTCTTATTCAAAAGAGTATTTCATGAAGGTCAACATTAAACCTGTTGGGGCCTGTGAGTGTTTGCCTGAGCCCTGTGGCATTAGGGCTGATGTGTCTCTGTGTTAATGAGGAGGAAGATGTTTGCACACATGATCAGAGATGAGGAGTGGGAATATGTGTTGGCACTGGGGAGAGGTAAGATTGTCACTGCTAGTGTGAAGTTTTGCTAAATGCTCTCCTTTCCACTAGAGAGAAGTACCCTGTTGATCAATAAGTAAGATGCACTGCCAATTCTGGACTGGTTTTCTCTGCATTTCTTACCTTACTCATATTTAACCTTGAATATATTTATAAAGAACTGCACAGAAAATCCTGTCTAAGACAGGAAGAAGCAGAAAGCAAGCCTGGACATCATGTGTTTTCTTGCTGTATTGTCCTGGACAGCTTCCCATCTGTTAATGAATGAATGCTGACATCTAAATCATCCTCAGGGGAGGTTCAAGATCCATCTGAGTTCAGTATGAGATTCCTAAATAGCTGTAACAAGCGCATACTTCAAAAGAAATACATTTTTCTATTTTTAAAACATGAGAGTTTGGGGAGGCTTTGATTACTGAGAATGTCTTTCTAAATGCAATGTAAAGCAACACTGAGCAGTCAGTGCGTCTTGCTCAAATTCAGAATTTGTTCATATTCTGAGATGTGATTTGATGCTCTGAAGAGTTAACGTATGGCTGTGTTTAGTTTCCTTCTTTTTCTGAGCAGACTGTGTATGTATTTATTAGGCTCTTTAGTATGTCTCAATGGATTAATGTGGAAAACATATTGTCTGTGAGCACTTGAAACTGACTCAGGGAAATTGGTTGGGTAGACTACTGAGCAGTGTTTAATTGAAAGACTTGGTACTCTGAACAAGACATGACTCACTCTTAAACAGCAGGGAGCAGTTCTTAAATGTGAAAAAAAACAAGATCATATGAAATATGAAGTCATACGTACAACGTGAAACTGTTTGCATTTGATAGCAACAGCCTAAATTAAATCAGCCTCACAAAAACAGTGCACATTTTGTTTACATCTTCAGAACACGGGGGATGTCCTGTGCAAGGCTACACCTGTGCCAGTTCTCCATCTCAGCTGAAGAAACCAAACTTTCTTCAGAGTTTAATTCCTCTTTTTTTTTTTTTTTTAACAAGGAATTCACCCCATCCTACAGTTTCTGGTTCCACATGGTCAGGCATACATTCAGCTGTGGATCAGATACTCGTGCTCTCAGAGTGACACATCACTACTTTCTTGGTGAGTGCTGACAGATGTTTTGACCTCACACAAGCACGATCCAGGAACAATTCCCATTAAGCCTATTGATATGAGTCTTTCTTCAGAGGATACACTCAGGAGGCCTTACCTGAATCGCTTTTAAAGTAGATTATTTACATTCTATTTAGCCCTTATTGCAGATATTCTTATTGAGAATTAAGTGAAATTAATTTGATCTAGGATCCTTCACTCTGAAACGGAAGGAAACTAAATCAAATGAAATCCAGTTTAATACTGAGTAACAGCATTCATGCAGGGCTCTTGTTTAACTTTAGTAAACACATTCAAATCACACTTGTGATTAATTTGTATTAATTTTTTGTCTTCTCCTGTGAAGACAAGGGACAATAAAGTTGTCGTGGAGGACCTGACCACATGTTCTGCCATATTCTCTAAATGTTACGGACCTAGCTTCTCTTGAATACTGAACACGTTGATCTGGAGCTCTGGGTCTTAAGGCTGATGCTCATTTTTATTTTATAGCCAATGCTCTTTCCTCTCAAGTAACCATTTCTATTGAGCACACCAGTGTAGAATCTCAGCATCTGTCCAGGCAAGAGTTGAAAGGTACTGCTGACTGTTAAAGCCGTGCTTGTGGAAAAGTTACTGTGGATTTGCCTGGTTTAAACCTGTGACTTCAGCTGTTCTGTATCAGGAGCACTAAATTTAGTTGTAGATTTAAAATAGGTGAACAATTTGTCAGCTAAAAGGTCAGGATGCTTGCTGTTAATTTTGTGCTTTGCTTTTTCTGATTAAGAGAAAATTGTCTGTATCATCTGCTGTTACTGTCAAGGACTTTTGACTCATGCCTGTGCAGGAAAAATGTACAGAAGAGTCACTGTATCCCCTGTGCCTCCTCCCAGCCTTGTGTTTTATTACAGTTGTACTCTGAAGTGCTCCAGCGCTCAGCCAGCATACCCTAACCCACAAAGGTCTCTGCAGAGGGAGAAGTATTGACTTCTCCATCATGTGCAGATCACATTTCAGCCTTTTAGAGTTTTGTGCAATTGCCAGGTACACTGAAATCCAGATACCAGCTCCTGCAACCTTCATGTGACTTTGGCAGCATGCACGTGGCTTTTCGAGTGCACACGGCTATTTGTTGTAGCTCATGGACACCCAGAGATGGGTGGCACCACAGAGGGGTGTGCAGCGGCCTGTGTATCTTCCCTGCTGGGATGCAGTGACAGGCATGGCACCAGCCTGAGAAGCATCAGGAGGGTTTTGCAGGCCTGAGCAGCAAATGCAAATTCGCAGCAATCCAGCTGCTCCACTGTCCTGGGAGCTCCAGGTGTCACCTTGGCAGTGCTTGGCCAGAGTTCTGGTTCTGCACTCCCTGCTTAGATGGCTGCAGCCTGTTCCGTGCATTGCTCTGACCCGGCTGCCATGAGAGGCTGTTGCTCTCCTACCAATGTATTGCACACAAGCACTGTGGGAAAAGAGTGTTTGGGGAGCTGATACTGCTCCATAGCCACAGTCAGAACCAGGTGAGGGCTGGCAGGAAGCCTTGGCTTTGCACCAACTGGGCAGCAGCACTGCTTGTTTTTCTGTGTGAAACTTCTCTCTGTTGCATCTGATGCTGTGCAGAGAAGCCAATAAAACAGTAGTAAAGCTGTTCCCATGCATACAAAACTGTCACAATTCATGTGTGCAGACACAGCTGCTGCCTCATTTGTTTTAAAGTTCTGCAGCACAAGATGGTGAGAAGGCCTGCTCTGCTGCTGCTGGTCTTCCCAGAGAAGCACAGTGCCCGCACTGATCCTCCTCAAAACCTTCTGCAAACCCAAGGCAGTACTTGTAATGTTCTCTTCTCACAAAAGTACCAACTTAGAACTGTCCTGAGCTGTGAAATTCTGATGGGGATGTTACAGAGAAATTAACTGAATCTCACAGTAGTAGCTCTGGGAAAGAAATATTACTTCTTGCTTTACAGTCCCGCTCAAGCACTGCTTTTAGAAGGCATTTAAATGTCTCCCTCACATATTCTGAAAGATTAAAGTCATTATTTTCAAAAGGAGCTCCTGACTGGAGATGCCTATTTCTAGTGCCTGCAGGCCTGTTGTTTCTCAAAGTGACTGCATATTTACATGTGGGATACGGAAATATTAAAAATACATAGACATGGCTTTATTCTCTTGTCTTTTTATAGGTTGGATGGAAAATGAATTATCCAACAAAAGGATTTATTCTCACAACATGGAATGACTCAAACTCAGAGACTCTTCCTTTTGCCATGTGAGTGAAGAGGATTCCCAGCTGAGACGCACCGCGGAGCCCCAAGGCAGGTAACAGCTCATGTCTCAGCTCCCTGCCACCTGGCTCGCCCTTTGCTCGGGCTCTGTCCCTTTCTGGAAGAAGCCTTTGCCGAGCACTCAACTTCAAACATTTTTTTTCTCAAGGCCAGGCCTTTCAGGGCACATGATTCCTAAGTCAGGAGCTACAGAGGTTACAAAAAGCTTCTTGTGAATTGGTCATAGTTTAACAGAGCTGACAACAAGCCATTGCTCTGTTTCAGCCATAGCTTCTGTTCCTGCAGGGATAACCTCCTATAAAGAAAACAACCGTTATCTTATCTTCAGACTTTGGAAACATTAATACCAGCTCTGTATAATGATTCAAAGGTCTGCCTATTTACTATGAGAGCTATAAAAAGAAACCTATCTTAGACGATGGAATACTTTTTTACATATATTTAAACATAATGCTATATTTTTAACTTAAAAAATGACTGCATAATAATGGATGGAATGATGATCACACAGTGCAGTCTTTGTTGGGTTCCTTCAGGTCAGGCAGAGGTGAGACAGATGAGTATGCTGCTGGGACAGCCACAGCTCGAAGACCTGCCCTCCATTTGGTGAGTTCGGCCCTCACCACACTTTGCTGGGTGCTGACAGCTCGGTCACCTCTCCTTTTAGAACTGTATGCAAGAATTGCAGGTTTAAAAATCACTACTAGGAACCTTAAAGAGCCCAAAGATGGTTAGTGAGAATTCATTTCCACATTGAGGGAAGGCATTGAATTGTTTTTATTCAAACCTAAAATGTTTAAGAGAAGAGGAGCGAGGAGAGCTCTTGCAGCCCCATTAATCCACTGAGCAGCTACAGAAATCTGGGTAGCTAAGGCCAGGGTCAGCCCAACCCAGTGAAGATGTTGTAACCAGCAGTTTCCTAAAAGAAGAGCAACATTGTACAGGGAAGAGCAGCGGTTGGGCTGTGGTCTCTTATTGCATGAGACTGTTATGAGAGCAAAACCCCTTTGAAAAAAGGGAATTAACCTTTTTCTCAGTCTGCAGCAAACTGGGAAATATTAGGAGGGCATAAAACGTGCTCTGACACAGCGTGTTTCCCAGAGCAAAGGCCGGTTGTTTGGGTAACACATTTTGAGCATTTGCATACTGTTTTGACACCAAACAACTTTTATTTTGTCTGCTCGCACACACACTTCCCGCCGTCAGCAGCTGCTGCCATGCAATGATGCAGTCGGTGATTACAGAGCTAAAAATGTACACGCAGAACCCACACTGACAGCCGAGAGAAACACCCCAACTAAATTCGGTCTTCCGCAGAAGCGGCGGCACGCGGTGCGGCTCCCAGCGGGGGGGGGGAACGGGGGGGGCGGCGCGGCCTCGGCTCGCGCTTCTCCGGGCAGGGCGCTCGTTCTTCGCGGATGTTTCCGAGTGAGCGGCAGAGCAATGAATCCCAATTAATCCCCCGTCGGTCATCCGCCGCTCTCGTTTGGCAGAGCCGTTCCTCGTGTCATCGCTCCCTTCGGACCGAAACTTCGGCAGCGCGTCGCCCACCCGCGCTCGGGCCGATTCCCCTCTGCCCCCCGCCCGTCCCCGCCGCCGCCCCGCCAGGCCGCGGCCCGCCCCGCCTCCCCCGGCTCGCGGCGGCCCCGCGCCCCGCCCCGCCCCTCCAGCCGGCGCTGCGGCGGCTCCGGCAGGCCCGGCCCACCGCGGGGCCCGGATTGGCGGCGCCGGGCAGCTCCGCCGCCTCTCATCCCTTCGCTGCCGCCCGGCGCGGCGCTGGAGGCGCGGGCCGCGGAACGCCGGGGCCGCGCCGGGCAGTGCCATGAGCCGCGGGTAAGGGAAGCGGGCAGGGCAAGGCAGGGCCGCGCCGCCTCGGCTCGCTCCGCACGGCGCCGTGCTCCGCTCCGCCGCACCGGGAAGCGGCGCCGCAGCGCTCGGTGTGAGAGTCAGAGCCAGGCGGGGTGCGGGCACGGAGCGAGGAGGGGAAGGGGCGTCCGGCGGCGGAGGAAGGTTGGGCCTGGGGCAGGGCTGAGCCGGGCCGGGGCCGAAGCGGCGGGAGGGGGCGCCCCGCGGGGCTCCCCGGGCTCGGGCCGCTCCGGGCTGCGGCCGGTGCCGGCGGGTGAGCCGTGCTGGCGGTGCGGGCCGACCCGCCGTTATCCGTGCCGCTGTTGGGCGCGGGTCGGCGGGGCGCAGTTGGCTGAGGCGGGAGGTGCGCTCAGCCGGGGCCGCCGCCGGAGTGGAAGCGATGCCTTAAAAGCAGGCGGCACAGCGGGCTGTAACGCGTGTTCCTGGTGGAACTCGAGGGCAGAGAGCTGATCTGTCCGTCACCTCGAATTGTTTCCTTTTTCTTGTCCCAGGTGTCGGCGTTTCGGCTCCTGAGTCTCTTTTAATTGTTAATGTAATTATATTTTACCTGTCTGTTGCAGCTGAATGTCGTTTCATCACGTTTCATCAAGTTCCTTCTAAATGTCTGTGCTCAACTTTTTGATGGTTGTATTTGTCGGCAAATGTCTGAAGGAGCTGCAGCAGCAGCTGTCATCTCGGGCAGTTCAGTGCGGCTGAAATGAAACTTTTGTAACTCCCCCGTTGTAACTGCGAGGTAAATCACAGTGAGCCTGGAATGCTGTTAAGATGCTTTGTCATACTCCTCTGTCTTCACATAACTCCTCTTTCAAGATGTTCTTGCCTGCAGAACTCAGGGAAACAAGGCAGTTTCACAATCTCAGGGCTTTTTTTTGGAATTAATAGTAACTATATTCCTAATCTGAATAAAATTAGGCAGTGTGAGTACTTGCTTTCAATTGTCTCTGAATTGGTGTTAAATTTGAAGATAAAAGCAATTTAACTTAAGCAAAAGAAAGTAACACTTTTAGTGTTAGAATTGGCTTTAAAGACGCAGGTTCATTTGTATAAGAGGTTCATTTATAAGAGGTTACCACTGTGATGGCCTTTAAAGCTGATCCAGTGCAGTGCCCTGCTGCGGGTGGCATGTTATTAACTCTCCATGTAGGTGCTGAGGTATGAGGCAGTGTTTCTGAGCGGGGATAAGTAAGGAGCTTTGTCTTTTGAGCAAAAGCACAAAAAGATAATCCTGTGCTCAGAGGCGTCTTTTATCAGACTCTGCTGCTTGATATCCCCTGTGCATTGTACTGGTGAGCTCAGCACGCCTTTGGGAAACTTTTGGTCTGTGCAGAGAATTTCTTTAAATGACCTTTGTTGCTTTTATTTTAGAAAAGAAAATCCATTAATGAAATCCAAAGTGAAAACTTGAAGTTCACAGCCCCATAAAGTATGTTTGTCAGTTGCTTACTGCTTTTAGTTTGGGTGGTAAAACTGTCTAGTAGCTTTGAGTATTGATGGTGGTTATTTGTAAGTAAATGAAGTCTAAGACGACTGAATTACAAACTAAGGAATGTGAAGCTGGAAACATAAGCAGAATATTCAATGCAAGCAATTTCCCTTTTATGCTGTAAGTGTAAATAAAGCAATGGGTGATAGTGAAAGTTATAGTAAAGTATAGTAAAGTAACAGGAATAAGCTTAAAATCATGTTGATAAGTGTTGAGATTGTGCTGCTGTAACCTCACCTTTCTGTGCTACATGAACCTGATCCGTTAGGTGAAATCAGAGTAAAGAAATCACTTTCAGCAAGCCTGAGAGGTTACTGACCTTGTCTTGTATGGGATGGACAGGTGACCGGTTCTGAGCTCAGCGCTGAACATACGTAAAGGCACGTGCCTGTGATGGTGTTCCCCTGTCCTGTTCTCTGTGCAGTGCCGAGAACCAAGCCTTAGCCTGTTGTGGCCCAGGAGATATGTAGCTTATGGTGTGGGGAGCTGAAGGAAAGAGCTTCTCAGTTAGGATAAATTGTAAGTTTCAAGGGACTGAGAAATAAATAGAATAAATTTTGGTTTTATGTACGTTCTTGGAGCTTGAAAAAGTCATTTAAAATCTCTGGATATTTTTTCTTTTCTGTTGGCAAGCTAGAAATGTTGCTGTCAGATATCTGCAGTAAATGGTGCACACAATTCAGTGTGCTCTGAAACATTTATCCTTGAATAAAGGCATTATGTCCTGGAAATCCTTACTGCCCAAGGTGAATCAGTTAGATGACAACGTATGTTGGAAAAGGAGAATGCAATGTAGGTTGAGATATGAGCGAAATAACAATGAGTTAATGCTGTGAGCCTTCATGAGCACGTAGTTGGTATCGGAAGAGCCATAATATATTCAGAGTAGAAACGTACTCTGGAAATGCATAAGGATGCCATGTGTGGCCAATAAAGGGAATGAACAGTGACTTTTCTTACTCTAGGTAATGTAAAGTGGATGCTAGAAAGAATGCCCTGTGATTTCAAGGAGACAGATGTTGAAACAGTGAAATATGGAGGGAGTGATGGTACATGTCAGGGCTGAAGAAGGATGTAGCACTTAAGGGGCAAATGAGGGAGGTTAAGTAAGGCAGTGTTGGCTTTGTGCTGGGACATGGTGACTTGTTCAAAGAAAAGCCTCTACACAGAGTTGTCTGAACATTCATGTACTCTCTTTCACATGGACACCTGAGAACTCTGAAGGTCAAAGCCAGTCCTGCAACATTCCGTGTGACTAACCTTATTCCTGGGGTCCTCCCCTTGATGAAAGGCTCAACCTTGGCTCTGTTGAGTGAGAGCTGGACCAAACTGACTCCAGAGTTCTCTTTCAGCATAAATTATTTTGTTATTATTTTGTTATTATTTTGTTATTATTTTGTTATTATTTTGTTATTATTTTGTTATTATTTTGTTATTATTTTGTTATTATTTTGTTATTATTTTGTTATTATAGAAGTGCTATAGAAAAGAAATGACAAGCGTAAAAGTAACTTCCGTGCTCAGTGTAGGGCATCATCTCTCTCAGATTTTGATATCTCAGGTTATAAGCAAGATCACTGTATTTTAGACTTTCACTTACATTTCTGGAGGAAACATCAACCTGCCTGCAGTGGCACATAGCATCAGTGAGCCCTATTCATAAAACACTTCATTATTCCAAGGTGCTCTACAGTGATTGAAAAAGATACTTTCTTCTCTGAAGTGCTTTGTATTTCAGGAGGCAGCAATGACTAAATGAAAGCAATAGTGAGAAAATATGGGCAGGCAGTGATTTTTAGTGTATTAATGGTACAACTATTAAGCTTTTTTAAGGCGTTATGAGAAAGGAGAGACTTAAAAAAGAATTTGATGGAGAGCAATTTAGTAGCTCTATTGATTTTTATTAGATTTGGTTCCTTTAGTCTAATTCTCCTACTCACTGCCTTTTGTGTGCAGAAAATAGCATATTTTCCAGGTGCCTTTTTGACTGTTAGTGCTTTCTAACTACTTCAACCTCTTCCTGAGTTTGACTGAGCTCAGTTGGTGCAAAGGCTGCCTCCCAGGGAGCCATCTCTTCTCTGTTGCCCAGTGACAGTGCCTCCAGCCTAACAGCTGGAGGAGTATTTGACATTAAGGGAGCAAAAGCAGGACTGCTAAGTACAGTGTTGTCTGTCCATCAGAGGTACCACAGGCTTCTGTTAACAGGCTCAGAATTTTGACGGCAGGAAGTTAATAATAATCAGTCAAGATCCCATTATGACTTGAGGCAACAAAACATGAAGAGTTTGCGCTACATGGCAGTGCCTTTGTGTGCCTGTTCACCTGGGGTGTTTGAGGATTGATACTTAACCTCTTGAAGAGTCAGCACTTGGGTGTGTTGTCCCTCAGAAGACCTGGAGATGAATGGAGTTGCCTGGGTTTGGACCAAGCTCTGCATAAGGGTTAAGTTGGCATTCTAGGAGAGAAGGTGACTGAGGGACACGGGGTGGCAAGATCAATAAAATGTAGTAAACACTGGTGTTCTCTCTTAAGGGCCAGGAGGGTAGCACAATTGAATTGTTGTATGAACTGGGCTTTGATATTCATTACCCAGCAGAGCTGTGGTTTATAAACTGTTCTGCCCTCTGACCCTGCTGGTGCTGGATGACAGGAACATGGCAAAAGTGTCCGTTGGTGCTGGAGCAAGTATTGGGTATCTTGGACTGCTTATCCTATTGGCGGTGGATTCTTACCCTGAAGCTGTAAGAAGATGGGATGGTCAGTTTAAAAGAGGGTCTCAGGAAACAGTTTCAAAATGCTTATTCAGGATTTAGGACATCCTAAGAAGTCTGAGTCCTAAAAATTGCTACACTGGGTTTAAGTAGCTTATGCAGAAGACTGAGAGCTCTGAGACTCTAGATCTTATTCTGCATTCCGAGTGTTGTGTTTGATTTCAGTTCTAGAATAGGACTGCCAAAATACAGGCACAAAGCAGGCTACTGTCTACCTTTGACACTGGAAATTTCAAAGCACATCATGGCAGGCTGAAACATTCAACTGCAACCTGTTGTGAGCTGCAACGAAGTTATAGTCTGAAATTAAATAGCTGCAAAAATCATTTTGTGTCATTGGAAGCCAAGTTTAAGATAGAGGAATAATAATGTTTTATGAGCCCAAACACAGCCAAAGAGTAAGGCTTCTGTGGGAGGAAGGGAGATAGTCATGCTCATCGCTGTGGTAGTTTGGTTGGGAAATAGTGCCTGACGTGACAGCAGAGAGTGGGAGCTGCTGCCTGGGTTTGGCTCACAGTATCCTCTGGTTGAGCCTGGAAACTGTGCAGCCCATTTTGCATTCTGTCCCAATACTTTTGTGTAACGTTTGGGGCTGAATGCATACGTAGATGTGTTTTGGTGGTAAATGAAGTGTATTTCTGTCCTGGTTTGTAAATGCTGTGGAGTTTGATAAGGCTTATCATTCCGAGACCTTCTCGGTGGCGCTTGTTGTCAAATTGCTTTCACACGTCTTTCTGTGTGACTTGGCTTGAAGTACTAAATGAATTGGGAGAAGAGGATAAGAAAGAAGAGGAGGTGATCTGTCAGCTCAAAAGCGTGCAGGTTAATGAAGATTTTGCCAGGTCTTTAATAATCCTTCTGAGCAAATGCATGGCAACTCTTGCACTTTTAGGAAAATGATAACACTATTCATTTTATTACTTGTGTGAATTGTGAGAGATGTAAATGGAGGAAGGAGCGGTTGTACACGACAGCCATCTCCTGTTCTGTAATTCCTGTTACTGTTCCCTTTACAATAACAGGCCTCCTTTTCCAGGATGCTGAACTGACTAGTGTTACAAGAAACTGAAGATTCATGCCTAACACTGCTAGAAAAACACATGGACTCCAAGGCTGTAAGAAAAGATTGGGTTAGATTTAAAAGCATAAATGTCTGCTTGCATTGACCTTTCACTGTGAAGTTTTAGGGGTTGGTTCTTGAGTGTTGAATAGATGTTATAAGTGTGTGATTTCTGTTGGGATCACTTTTCACTGTCATTTCTAGTAGCCAGATTTTTAAAATTCTAGCTAGATATTTTTTTATTCTTTCTACCAACCAAAAAGTTCAAAATTAAGGTGATAAAGAAGAGTAAATGGCTGTACAGCACTGTGGGTGTTGTTTTACTACTTCACTCTCATAGGTGTGTGTGTATGTGTATA